GAAGGAAGGAAGGAAAGAAGGAAGGAAAGAATGAAGGAACGAAGGAAGGAACGAAGGAAGGAAGGTAGAAAGAACTGCACCACTGCTATTATATCACCCTAGATTCCACCGATTTAGGGGGGAGGGGTGGTGTTACCCGGTACCCACCACCTCTGGAAGTGAAAGATTAGAAATTGCCACTAAAGATCCCTAGCATCGAGCATTTGAGCACGTCTCTGAGGGGGAGGGGGTATGTACCGGTACCCACCACCTTAATTCGAAAAATCGGGTCCCTATTTTGGAACATTGTTTTGACCTCGCCCCTCAGGGTCTTTCAAAAATGAGGAGAAAGTACGTACTGCCTTTTTAATTACATCTGCAAATGGTTAGACTTTCAAGTGGCTTGGATGACCACTTTAAATGGCGGTCCCATCTCTCCACACTTCATCATTACTAACCAATATTGGAGGGACGTAAAAGAACCACTGAGGACGCATTAGTAATATTCGCGATTGTTATTCGTACGGGAGTCGCGGTTCACCGAATATTTACCAACATTTTTCACTCCCGTATGAATTATTCGCGATAGTTATTCCTACGGGAGTCTGTTCAGCGAATATTTACCAACATTTTTCACTCCCGTATGAATTATTCGCGATTGTTATTCGTACGGGAGTCGCGGTTCACCGAATATTTACCAACATTTTTCACTCCCGTATGAATTATTCGCGATAGTTATTTGTACGGGAGTCACGGTTCACCGAATATTTACCAACATTTTTCACTCCCGTACGAATTATTCGCAATTGTTATTCTACAGGTAGCCCGATTTAGATTAAAGTGAATGGTGAAAATAAAATCGGAAAAATCAAATAATTATTTTTTAAATTCGAGATCAAGATAATGTCCTCGGTAATGCGAAAGAGCAAAAAAATCAATTAAAAATGCACTAGAACATTTTTTTTCGAGCGCGCCTTTGTTTTCCTATATAATTTCCTTATGGTATCTGATGCTGATCTTAGCTTATGTATAAATATATTCTGACAAGGGAGGAAACTACAGTCGCCATATTTGAACAAACAACTCACTTTAAACCACGAATTCATCGTCTTTTAAACCTCGAACTCCACAAAAAACTTGATCAAAAACTCTCTTGGCTCTTCCTCCAAGATTTCTATGAGTGAAATTTTCGTGTAGAAAACTTTTCGCTTGCAGAAAATGTTCTGCTATGTTATGTCAAGGTAACTACCTGCGTAGGACTCGGGCGAGAACGAATTTCGACCTTACTACTCTCCCGCACAGGATTTTTGTAACGTGTACACGACCCACCACCAGCCACCCCACAGGGCTAGTTTTGTTCTTGAAAAACAATTCCACAAAGTTCTCTATGGTCGACATTTTTTCGCTTTTTTGGTTGGTTTTACTTTGAAAAATGAAATATAACTACAGATAATTCAACACGATATCAGGTTTAGTGAAAATTACAATGGATGTCTTTCATTTAACTTGAAATTTTGGAGATTTTCGTGTACTTTTTCAGGACAAAACTGCATCATCATGAAAGCTGGTAAACAAAAATCGATGCTTGATTTTTATGCATTTCGTTTTAGGAGTCCTGAATGTAAATGAAAATATTTTAATGAATGAATCATCAGTTAGCTAACATCAGTTTGGTTTCGTTGTTTCTAGGGCCTGGCAAAAAAAAATAAAAAATGATTCAATAGTTGAGTAATCAAGCTCTGGAACGACGTACATGTATATCTTATGTCCAGCTTATTTTCTGTTTTGCTGCTAACAAAGTAAGCTTATCTATTTTGTTACTTTCATTGCGGTAAAAATACTCTATACAAAAACGTAAAACTCTTAATATGGATAGTCAAAAGATCGTTAAGTAAAAGAAGCATCAATTTTTGCTTA